TTTTATTCTCACAACCTGAACACAGTCAAGTTATTTGTATCTGGCTGAGGCAAGTTGTCAATAACTTGCAAAGTAAATTAACTCAATATAGTGGGTGAAGAGTAGATTATCGTCATGAGTTGCAAGTACCGCAATGAATAGTGAAAAATGTTCTGAATCATTAGTGTTTGAATAATTCAATTACATCGAATTATTTAGCTACAATTCCAGTCACTGTCGTGTGTCTCAATGGTGGTCTAAATGTAGCATAAAAACAGAATTCGAAGATCATCGGATAATGGTTTGGTTGTCGGTGAGTATTTGAAAACTGAAAAGACTGATATGACAGACGTCAACTAAACTAGAGACAGACAATCCAGATATTTGAGAATGGACGGGACACGAAAAATATCGGGTCTTGATAAGCCAATTTGCGGAAAAAATTAAGGTAAGAGGTTAAAGTAATATTTATCGTTATTATGTAAAATGTGCGGGAAATACCAGGTACTTTGAGCTACACATTGAAAATGCACGTCAGTTATGATTATGAGTAAGGGGACAGTTTAATGAAAAGAGATGTAGTCGTATATGATAATCCTGAAAAACGGGAAAGCAGGATAAATGGTGGAGTAAAATTTGATGGACATCATGTCGAATACTTGTTACCCACGGTTCGCAACACAGTGAACAGCTAACAGAAAGTCAACTAATTGAAATAAATAAATATATATATTCCAGTCTCGTTCATCCTTCCATATATATATATATATATATATATATATATATATATATATATATATATACAATATCCCTTAGTTTACTATGTATAATATGGCATGGAAAAACTAGAGTGAAAATGAAATACCCAATGACAAACATTTTGTAATGTACAGTGACTTTCAGTAAGGTTGATGCAATATATAGCAGCTTACACGCATATATAACGAGAAAAAACAGCAGATTGAATATACGGAGTGTATTAAAAGTTTCGGCACAGAGATCAGTAACATGAGGATAATAATTCTTACCCTATCTCGTGCACGAGTAATTCCCGAACAATAGACGCAATCAAAAACTGCAAAACCAGGCGAGCTACACACGCGAAATCGGAACCCAGGAGTAAAATACGCGGTCTTGGCAGGACTCTGAAAGTTTGATTTAATAAAACAAAACACTAAAAGAATGGGCACAGTATTGTTTTCAGCTCAATAAAAATATGTCAAAAACTATTAGGATGGCGAGATTTGCTGTGCAATAGCAATAGATATGAAGCGGTAAGTCTGTCTCGAAAAAAATAGTTTCTCCTAATCATTCCTTGGAATTAATGATGACCTGTTTATTTTTACCGAGAATACCTTTGCTGTCACATCCATACCAAGCAACGTCGGGTATATAGAGCAACGCATCTCTTTACATCAGCTAGTTCACTCGCTCCTCAACATCCCAACCGCCATTCAAAGAAACCTTCAGTACTCTCCATTTCTGACGTCTGGTTTGACTTGATTTTGGATATTCTGGATATGAAAAGTGTTACAAAAAAGTCATCATCAAGCTCTGTAATAAATGAATGCCGCCTCTTTTATTTTTGTGCACAGTGACCTGAGTGGAAGCTGGCAACGAGTGTCCTTTAGGACCATCTTCAAATAGCTGTGTGTAGATTATCTAATAAGATAATTTTGAAGGTAAAAAGGCCTGAAGGATCGGTGAAATATCACTGAGTCCTAGCCAAGTCTGTTTTCACGCTCAAATTATTTGTGAATAACGCATAAAATCACTGTATGACAAGGTCCTGGTACGAACTGAAGTTTGGAAGGAGTTTATTTATACTGGGCCAAATTAATTCATTCATCCAAACAAATTATTTTACCGTTAGGACTTTGTATGATACCTGAAAGTTTAAAAAACAGGATCGTCATCAGATTTCAATACGTTTGGCTAGGAGATGGTTAAATAGTGTGACTGCAATGCACCTCTTTAGCGGTCATTACGTTTTAATGAAGGAGGTTAAAACACTGGCATCACCGAGTTTTTTTATTCTGGCGGATTAACATTTCATGGCAATGCACCCTTATTTTCGCTTTCAAGATTCTCAATCTTCATGATCATTGACTATTGTCAATTGTAATTCTTATTGAATGCGATTGTGTTTTGCTTGGTCGCCTGTTGTTCCCCTTTGTATTTATCTTGTGACTAATATCATGTGTGCCAAAGAAATGAATCCAAACAGCCCGTAAGCATAGATACCATGAAGGAGTAAATGACGTTCATTCATAAAAATGAGGTATGACTATGACGTAAGCTAAGGGGTCACATTATTCCTTTGCAACTTGAAAGGACCACAATCATCAGAACAGACATCTATTATTAATGATGAATAAGGTTTCCTTAGCCATGTTATAAGTAATACGTGAGATCAAAACAATTTGTGAGGTTTTACCAGTGAATATGAGATAACGAGGCCGATGGGGCTTGCCTGGATTCCAATATCTTTTTCACGAGCTAGTATAAAACAATTGATTCCTTTGCGCTCGACTCTTGTTCCTTCGGTACGGTTACAGGTGTCTGGTAGTGTCCAATGAATGTGGGTCTAGCCACTCTACTGCCGAGTTCTAGTTAATCAGCAGTGGTTTGTGAGTTCGTATGTCCCGTGATTTGAATGAATACGTTTGTTTCAGGGCGACAGAGTTTCTGAATACCAGCAGCTATCACATTACCAACCGGAGATCAATGTGAGTACATTGAGTAACTTTTGGTTTATAATAACAACTCTCATACTTTAAATTAAGTCAACATATTTAGGTGAACAACATTGTTTTCAGTTAGATCTTCATCAGGATTTTCTCTGTAATGGTTTACTTTTACGAAGAAAACACAACTGCTTATATATAAACGTTTATTATTGTACTTAATTCTGACAATTGTTATATTGCACACCTCTTGTTTTTCTGTACTAAAGACTATCTCTCGCACACCAAGCGTGTTCTTCCCATTCTCCTCTTCGCACGTCTCCTGCGTGGACGTTAGCCGTTTGTACGTCCTCTTGCCTCGACATTATTTCGATATCACGAGGCCAGTATCAAATATACTTCTTCCTCTAGAATCTACTTCTTCTTTGATTCTCAGAGTTCCAGGATTAACATTTCTTATCGCGCGAAGAATTATATCGTATGAATTGCTATAACTCTAACACATAATAATGTTTATATGCGTATATGAAATTAGTAAAACGATGAAGGCTATTTATTAGTCATCGGGAACTACCTCCTTGCTTACTGGCTTAATTTTTTCTTCAACCCGACTTTTTATTTTCTTCAACTAAATCCCTCTATCCAGTATCTGGAATATTTCTTATCACTTAATCTTTAATTCTAATGCTTTTTCGGACAGAGTTCAATTTTATAAGCTCATTGACCTACAACATTGTACATTATATTGACTTAGGAATTTATCAAACTTACTATAACTAGTATATCTGTCATCCCATTATTCATTTTTAATTTCCCCCCATTGTTTACACTGATTCATAAACATCCTTCATTGGCTCAATAATTTCATGTATGCATATAAGTATTATTGTGTGTCAGAGTAAAGCCTTATGATGATCTAACTGAAAACAATGTCGTTCGCTTATAAAAGTTGTCGGCGCAGGCCCGCTGGCATGGTATATTCTGGCACTCAGGGTGTTCATTAAAATATGTTTATTCGCCATCGTATGAGTTTTTCAAAGCGAACTGAAACTTATATAAATTACTTTCTTGCTTTTCAGGGTTGTACAATCGTTTTTAATGATAAGTGCGTTGTTTGATGTGGCTAAGAGTATTGGAGCTGAATTAAGTTTTAGTCGAGTCTTAAAGACTGGTTAGTATGTAAACAGTTCCATTAGTCAATGTGTTGGGTGAAGAGGCACTTATTCGTAAGGCTGGTATTGAGCTTTATGTGTATTCCTACAACAGCTCCTTTCCCTTAATGCGCCGCACTCAACAACCCTGAAATATTCGAAGGACATATAGTGTTCTTTAAAAGATAAGTAAATAAATAACTAGGCCAATTCTCAGTACAAGAGAATATGAGACAAAATAGTAAGAGTTCTGATCTAAATGACAATTAGGTGATTGATAAGAATGATTTAAAACTTGAAAATCAGCAACGAAGTGGGTGATATGGTAGAAGAATAAAACTTACGAAGAAAAACTCCTGAACTTAGGATGATTCCCCATAAATTACAAAAGAATCAGATGTGTTCTGATTATTACAGACTAAATCATCCAACATCAGCATCATACCGATGCATTACCGCCATATTTCTAGAGGTAATCGTTGAAAAACTGCGAATCAAATTGCGAACATTCAGGTTCGTACACACTTCTCAATAAGAGTCGTTGCAACTTGGAATGCTCTCCCAGCCGAGGTGACCACAGCCCCCTCAGTGGATGGCTTCAAGAAGAGACTTGGATTACACGTATTCACATACGGACTACCATCTTTCTCTTGGAACAGCAGCGCATGATGCATGTATTGAGACCTACTAGTTGTTATTATTGCCATCTCCTCCAATCACTAGCCTTATCTATCTCGTTTAATGTCTCCGATCTCTCTCTTTTGCCTACACTTCGGTTCACTAACACAATCTTCACTACCAATTGATAAAATAAATTTTCCATTGTTTACTTAGTTCTGAAATCTTATTCTTATTAGCATTAGAATTTTCCGCTTATAATTCTCCACATTGCGACTAAGTGATCCTCGAGCTGGTAATGTGATAGCTGCTGGTATTCAGAAACTCTGTCGCCCTGAAACAAACGTATTCATTCAAATCACGGGACATACGAACTCACAAACCACTGCTGATTAACTAGAACTCGGCAGTAGAGTGGCTAGACCCACATTCATTGGACACTACCAGACACCTGTAACCGTACCGAAGGAACAAGAGTCGAGCGCAAAGGAATCAATTGTTTTATACTAGCTCGTGAAAAAGATATTGGATAACTACGCAACTGTAAGATAAATTACAATTCAGGCGGAATTCATGTTGAGATTTCAAACCGTCAAGGTCGTTGAAACCAATACTGAAGTAACTTTAACCAGATCTAGTTTTTGTATCTTTTATTCCTGCTCAGTATATATTTGTTCATCACGGCTTTTAAGGTTTCAAACAAAATTAGATTACTATTATCTGAGGCTTAGTTTTTGCGATGGAGTATATGGGTCAGATAACTTTCACATTTGCTTATTTGGTTCGTTTAGTAAGTTCGAAATTCATGGTCTTGGCCGCTTGAACGAAGTTTTAGCAAGTTTTTAGCACTAACCTACTTCAAAATGGAATCCCTTAACATTATTCGTAAACTCGTCTATGAATCTGAAAAATTGCTATCTTCTATCACCCGGCTTGATATAGTTATTGTTACAAGGCAGATACCATAACTTAATTATTTTATTGCAAATTCATTTTCATTAAAACCATAAGTATGTGACTCAGGGAAGTATCTAAACTAACTGCTTTGCCCTCGGTATTCAAAGAAAATTCATTTTTGTCATTGCTGTACTTGGGATAGTATCTTCCAAGTAGCTGTGCATTATTCTGATATGTATCTAGTACTGTACTTTCCTTATTATAAACCTCTTGGACCCTGAGTGTGTTTATTTTTTCCTTTTGATGAAAATCGCAGCTTTTATCGTAATCCAGCGGTCAGGCTTGCTCACTGTGGTGATCCAATCAGCTGGAACACTCGTTTTCTTACTTTCTGTTCTGCCAAGTAAGTCAGTTGGACAGCAATAAGATTAGACAACGGGTAGCTTGTTCTTACAGGGCCGTGTTGAAAAAATGTCTTCGCTCAGATAATCCATATCTTTGAAGATTCCGCCTTACAATAACAAGAAGGAGAGATCCAAAAGTTCTGTCTTCAGAAATAGTACGCCTTGCCTTGGCTCACAGATTTCCGTTGTCAGCAGTATCTCATAATCAGAGAGCCAACGCTGTAGAAAGCTGTGTAAGAGTTTCTGTAAACAATTGCCCTCTGGACCCTACATTCACGCTCCCAGATCTTCAAGATCATCTCTAACCCAGTTTTCTATTCTGATCTGTTAAGAAGTATTATTTGACAGTGTGGCCAACCAAAAAGTAATCATCAACCTCATACCTGTGACACTGCTTAAGATCACTAACTGGTTGAAGACGTCAGCAATGTTCCAACTCTCTCACTGTCTTGAAAGGTGACGGAGGAAGGCCAAGAATGAATTTTATTTTTTCACGTGCTAAATGTTGCTTTATGACTTGCTTACATCAGTTTCTATTATAATCAGAGTTGAGTTTGTTGAATGGCTCTACCACTTCATTTATCTCCATTGTTTCAACAGCCCTGTGAAAGGTTGATAGCTGATAAAATACGGCGCAGGCAGGATGTCCTATTGTTACTGGGACATAGATTGAATTAATGTATGATTGCGTTGTTGCACACTGGTTGGCTCTTTCGTATCCAATCCGCGCTAGCCGATACTGAGTGAACATTTTAGAATCTTCTCTTGTAAGAAAACTATAAATATACTAACGTCTTTTTCGTTTGTACATTCTGTCTTCCTTCTAACGTTGTTGTTGGAATATAATCTATTTCCTGTTCAACCGTGTTCTGATTTGGGAGAACGTATCGAGTGAACTGGTTTCCGAGAATACCAAGCATTAGGAATAGCCGGGTTGTAATAAAGAGAGAACTATAACACCAGGTGTCTATCAAACAGCGATTATACTGCTTAGCAGTTTTATTCTCTACTTTTTGGCTACGTAATATGAGTTAATAAAATATATTAGTAGTTTGATAATAGTTGATGGTAGACTCCTTTAAAGGGTTTTTGACGTGCACTGAAAGAATTGAGTGATCGATGGTGTATATAAACGTAGGTTTCTAGGTAACGGTAGTAAATCAGTTGATGAGGCTGTTCACTTTGGTTAGATTTATTTGTATTTAGGGTACGCATAATTAGATATAATTCACTACAAACTATGTCAGTTACCATAGGAGTTGATTTGAAAAGATGTCGAATCAGTACATTGAGTCACTGATTATTAGTAAAAATAGTATTGGGTAGTAAGCATCTTACGGTTCCGATTGAAAAATGACATGATCTTAAGTTAACAACCTAGGTTTATTCATTCTCTACCTTCCTCTACGTTTTCAGCTTTAATACTGTTTGCCCCCTTTTGTTTCTTTATCTGATTCGTTCCTTTTGTAGTTATCTCTAACATTTAATTTCCCATAGTTATCGGTATTATTTTATCATTTCGTTTACAGCTTGCTTTTTCCTATCCCTATATTAAAGCGATATGTGGTGACTTGAAAGATGTACACTCACAAGCTTTCCTGTTATTGATGAATAACTGCTATGATTGTTGCGCGTGTAAGACTACAGACATGGAGACAAAGTTGTTTTCAAAGTATCTCGCACGTGTAGAGTTCTCATCAGACGCTCTCCTTAACTTCAACTCAGAGCTCTAACTAATAAAGGTAAGTTAGTTGATAACACGAATCCGCACCATCTCGGATGGCGCATGAGTTACTCACATCATTGTCACGTACTCCAAGATGCTACGCTATTCAGAGTGAAGTTATAACAGAAAATCTGGTGATGTTCAAACTAAGACATATCACCAGTTGTCAAACTTACTGGTTGTTGGTTTTTAGCCACTCATAAAAATCTTAGAAACACTCATTTAATGACAACAATATCAAAAATTAATTTGCGCTTTATGTTCATCTTCTTGTGAATTCCTTTTTATTCTTTACACCTTTACAGTTCATATGTCTCTCCCCTGTTTATTTTAATACCCTTCTAGTTATCATACATCTTTTTTCTTGAGGTGCTGTGAAGTGTAGTAAATCAGGGTCACTTAATTTTGTGATTCTGGGAAATTTCGTATCTGGTCATGTGTTTGGTACAAGTCCAATATATTTCAGAGAGAGTTTATCATCAAGAACAGTTTACTATTGATGAATTGTCAGTTGTACTTAAGGACGTATCTCACAGTAGTCAGTCAGTTAGTTACCACGTTGAATTTCTAATACCGGTTTCCTTGATAAGTTTGAATAGTCGCCTACTGTTACTTATCGTTGCTGCTTTTGCACTTGTCTCGCTGTTCACGATCGTTGCGTAGGTTTTTTATCAGCCTGCAATTAAGCTGACTTCGCTCTTCATCATGTTCAGAGCCAGACGGGATGAGTTTTCGAGCATCTATCAGTTCGGTAGATGCTACTGAAACCCACCGCTTCTCCCTAGCCTAATGGTTTACCTTACTAGCAGATATCACTGCAGTTTCCACAGCTTTTTGATATAATTCCAAGCTACCTTTGGGTGGGCATCACTTTCTACATGTCTGCCTAACTATTTTTCTAATTGTTCCTGAAATATATTCTTAGCATTGCTATCATTAAGTAGAACCTTTAGAGGTTTTCTTGCAGTGTCTTTCCTACGTCCAGTATGCCTCAAACAAATACGCGCTGGCACTGGGGCATGATTTGAATCTAAACATGTGCCCCAGAACGAGCGACAGCCCACCCAAGTCAGTCAGTCAAATGCAACGTAGAACTTCGTACGTAAGTACATCAGTTCATGTCGCCATACCACATCAGCACAGAGATGTAATTGTCAATTCAAATCCAATAGTAGAAGAGGTAGTAAGGGAATTAGAAGTAATCGGAGAGGTTAGGATTAGAAGTTATTATTCAAGAAGTATGATTCAGTGAGAAAAGTTTAGAAAGTCAAAACTAGAGGGGTTAAAGAATCCAGAAGATTAGGATTTGAGAGAACACAGAGAATAAATGCACCGGCGCCATTGCGAACGATTTTGAGCCATGTCATTCAAGGTCTCTAACCATCGATTATTATCATCTCGCGGACCCCAACCAGGTAGTCGACAATTACCGACATGACTAAGTCCAATCGTCAATGACTTCATGGATTTCTTCCATGTTTTGGTTTGGCCGCTCCTAGATTTCTCCCAACCTATTCCGACATCCCAAAACATAGGTCGACGAGGCAGTGGGCGTTTGGGCATACACAACACATGTCCCATGCATCTCAACTGATGAAGTTTCAGCACCTCATTTATTGATCTGCCATTCTTACCTAGCACCTGTTTTCTAATAACAGCGTCGCTCTCTCGGGTGTCTGACTGTAGTTCAGACTAGGTGAAAGATAAATCTTACAGAAAGCTTCCGGACCTCCAAAACGTTAGGTGCTCTGACATAGCAATAATAGCTGGTGACTTCAATGCTCAAGTAGGTAATTTAAGTGTAAAGGAAGGATACCTGAGTGGATCTTATGGTGTCGTGGTTAATAGAACAGATAATGGCTACCATCTGTTGCAGCTATGCTCAGATAACCACTTTTTTCTGGCAAACACTGACTTGAAGCATAAGGAAAAATATCTTTTGACCTGGAGACCGCCAAAGTTGTCCCAACGCTGGACATAACTAGATCACATCGATATAAGCCACCGATGGAGGCTCCATAGAAGACAGCCCCTCATTCTGGAGCACATGTTTAGATTCAAATCATGCCCCAGTGCCAGCGCGTATTTGTTTGAGGCATACTGGACGTAGGAAAGACACTGCAAGAAAACCTCTAAAGGTTCTACTTAATGATAGCAATGCTAAGAATATATTTCAGGAACAATTAGAAAAATAGTTAGGCAGACATGTAGAAAGTGATGCCCACCCAAAGGTAGCTTGGAATTATATCAAAAAGCTGTGGAAACTGCAGTGATATCTGCTAGTAAGGTAAACCATTAGGCTAGGGAGAAGCGGTGGGTTTCAGTAGCATCTACCGAACTGATAGATGCTCGAAAACTCATCCCGTCTGGCTCTGAACATGATGAAGAGCGAAGTCAGCTTAATTGCAGGCTGATAAAAAACCTACGCAACGATCGTGAACAGTGGTGAGTAGCGAAATGAAGGGAGATGGAAAAGGCAGTGATGACAGGCAACAGTAGGCGACTATTCAGACTCATCAGGGAAACCGGTATTAGGAACCCGAACGTGAGTGAGACTATCTCAGAAAAGGATGGCTGAATCATTCATTCTCAATCCAGGAGATTGGATCGATGGACAGAACTCTTTAGGGATCAGTTCAGTTGGCCTTCAGCCACATTTCGGTTACCCACGATCTCCAGTCGTCCTAAATGGCAAATCGATGTAAGTCCTCCGATTCTTTATGAAGTTGAAAAAGCTATAGGAAATCTAAGGTGAGTGAGAGCAGCAGGACCTGATACATTAACTCATGAGATTTTTAAGGATAGTGGTCCAGTTTTAACAGTTAGACTGACTGAGATCTTAGGTGGAATTTGGGAACTGGGTGTAATACCATCTGACTAGTCTCAGTCGCTAATTGTTTCAATGTATAAGAAAGGACAAAAGTCCTCTTGTGACAATCACAGGTGAATAAGTCTAACTAATATAATATCGAAAATGTTGGCCTCAATATTACTCCGATGCTTGACGAAAGGTGGTGAAGATCAGACTACAGAAAACCAGACTGGTTTTCTAACTGGACGTGGATGTATAGACCACATATTCACACTACGTTAGGTGCTGGAACACAGACACACATTTAGGCATCTGACAGTAGTTGTTTTCCTGGACCCTAAGGCGGCATTCGACTCAGTGAAGCATGAGGTTCTTTGGCAATGTCTGTCATTGAAAGGTGTACCAAAGAAGTACATTAACCTCATACATGCTGTCTAATCAAACATCATTGGTGGGGTGAGAGCCTATGGTGAAATGTCATCGAAATTGTTTACTTCAAGTGGTGTCCATCAGGGCTGTCCGCTCTCTCCATTCCTCCTTAACTTTGTCGTAGACATGCTTCTAGAGTTAACATTATCATCGTCTGACTTTTTAGGAGTGGACCTTCTACCAGGAGACACGCTTACTGACTTAGAAGATGCTGATGAAGTCGTATTCGGTGAAGACGCTGACGAAATACAGAGTCTTCTGACTACGCTGAGCAACAATACAACCATGTCCAGGATGCGATTCTCATTGTCGAAATGCAAAATATTGCTTCAAGATTGGGTTTCATCGGCACCTGAACAAGTGATAGGGAGTGAAGTAGTTGAGTGTGTAGACCGCTTCACTTATCTCGAGTCTCATCAGCGCTGATGGCCTGGTGACTGACGAAATCTCAGCTCGGATACAGAAGGCTCGATTGGCTTTTGCCAAGTTGCGTCACCTATGGCACAAGCGAGACATCCGTTTGCTGACTAAAGGACGAGTGTACTGCACAACAGTTCGCTCCGTTCTATATGGATGCGAAACACGGTCAGTAAGAGTTGAAGATATTCGTAGGTTATTAGTATTCGAATATAGGTGTCTCCGCAGCATTGGTCGTTTATCCTGGGACAACCGTATAAGCAATGCTGTCGTTAGGAAACGAGTTCTAGGTAGGGATGGCACATCAATAGATGGAGTATTAAAACTTCATCAGTTGAGGCGGTTGGGACATATGGTACGTATGCCTAACCATCGACTGCCTCGTCGAGCTATGTTTTGTGGTGTAGGAGTAGGTTGGAAGAAATCTAGGAGCGGCCAAACCAAAACATGGCACAAATCCATGAAGTCACTGACAGGTGAGTTGAGTAATGTTGGTAGATGTAGGCTACCTGGTTCGGGTCGGTGAGGCGAAAGTCACCAATGGCTTGACACCTTGAACGACATATCTCAAAATCCTTGCAATGGCGCAGGTGCATCCATTCATTGTGTTCCCGCAAATTCTAAGCTTCAGAATTTGTGATCATCTCTGTCTTTTTATTTCTAAAGTCATGTCACTGAATTATACTTCTCTAATCATATCTTCGAACCCTAATCTTCTCCATTTCTGTTAATACTTCTACTATCGCTACCTCTATTGGATTTGAACTGACAGTTGCGTCTCTCTGTGCTAATGTGGTATGGCAACCTGAACTTATGTACTCATGTAAAAAGTTCTACTTTGTAAGTGACTGACTGAAAATGATTAGGAATTAAGAAGTTTAGGATTTGAAAGAACATAAAGAATGAATGCACCTGTAGCATTGCTAACGATTTTGAGCCATGTCGTTCATTGTCTCTAACCATCAGTGTCCTTCGTCTCGCGGATCCCAACCAGGTAGCCTACATCTACCAACATAACTCAACTCACTTGTCAGTGACTTCATGGATTTGTGCCATGTTTTGGTTTGCCCGCTCCTAGATTTCTTCCAACCTATTCCGACATCGCAAAACATAGGTTGACGAGGCAGTGGGTGTTTGGGCATACGCAACACATGTCCCAACCACCTGAACTGATGAAGTTTCATTACTTCATCTATTGACCTACCATCCTTACATAGAACCCGTTTTCTAACGACAGCATTGCTTACTCGGTTGTCCCACGATACACGAAAAATGCTTCGAACAGTAAGACATGAAGTGATTGTTAGTGTACAACACCAAGATGCATAGTTTTTGAGAGCCGAGTCAATGTTATTGTTGTTAAATTTATTCTCATAAAATTTTAATTTGTTGAAACCTAGTAAAGTTTAGTCTCAATAATCCTAAAAACTAAACTTGGGAATAGAAAAACCATGTAACGATGTTGCGCTCAAATGCATTTATACGTCCGATAGTGGAGAGAGTTCGCTCTCCCTCTACAAATGCTCTCATATGACCACACCTACATAAGCACTGTTAGGAAAATCCTACTAACTACCTTGTAGTGGGTGATTTGTTTAAGGAACTAAAAGGATGAAAAGCGAATGTCCGGAGCTTTTCTCGGATTGTTGGGTACGGATGATCTACGTATGCGAGTTTAAAACCCCTGATTCACAACCAACAGTGTATGCAGGCTCCAGGCTCCTGACATCAGAAATGGCATACGAACTTATTGTTGGTCACCGGCCACCGTGCCACCACATTTCAGACGTTTCTCCATCGCTTTGTGGTTTAGGCTTTTGGTTCAGAGGCTTGAGGAGTGGCCCCCCAGGAAAACCACCTGCTTCGGTTTGAGCACTCCGACAGTGTCTCAGGTCACAAGCAAATTCATTAGTTTTTGTGGCGCATAAAAATTTATGTGCTCGTTTGTACCAAGAGTTATGTACTTAAATAATAATAATAATAATAATTCTATGATATGAAGTTTATTCCTGTGGTAATTTTATGCCCAATAGAAAGCTATTTATTGCTGATTCATCACATAACCTTCACTACCATTAAAAAATATGTACTAAAGTTTCACATGTAGTGAATGAGGACACAGGTGGGGCAACCGAATTGTATTGTACAGAGTTACTCAGTAAAATCGGAAAACCATATCGTAAATCGTTCATTTGCAAAAGATCAGTTCATCCTATGGAACTGGACTGTTCCTGTTGCCAAACATCAATCCATTGTCACTATTCATGCGTTTCATACAAATTCCATTGTTTTCTAACTCTTCCTTTCTTGATCTTCCCCCCATATTATGCTACCAGACTTTACGTTGACACTCACGTTATATACTACTTATAAGTAGTTCGCACCACACACATAGTATCCACCTTGTGACTATTTATATCTTCTTAATTGTTCTCTGTTCCTTAACACACCTAATAATAATTACATTATGAAACATCAGAAATGTAAATTTCTGATTATAATTATTTTATTGTTAGTACTTGGTGGTTTCTTGAAACCCAACAATTTCGAGTGATCTATAGTTTCATGTTAATTTTTTTGTGCACATTATTACCCATTCTTCTAATCCTTTGTAGTCACCGTTTTTTTATTTATTTTTCTCATGTGATACTAGATTTGCAGTATCAAGATTTACGATAAATTTTTACATTAACTTCAATAATTTATGGAGAAGTTTGTTGTATCTGCTCCTGCAAAAGCTATATTATTTGGTGAGCATGCTGTTGTATACGGTTATCCAGCTATCGCTACTACAATTGAACTACGTTGTTATTTTACAGTTACTATTATGAAGGAGGCTTGTGAAGATATTATTTTATATTTTAAAGATTTATCAGAAAACAGCATTCATATTCCATTCAAAATGTTTCATTCTATTTCAAATAAACAATCTGTTTTGGAATATGCATGGAAATTAGTATCAGAGCTTTTCGATTGTGCTTATCATGACTGTCCTCAAAATTCCCCTATCATTGTTAGTACATGTGTCATGATATATCTATTTATTCGTGCTATACAACTGCGAAGTACTGAACGTAACAATCAACAATTTCCACTCTTTGATGGGAAAAAAACTATATGTATAGAAATTCACTCAGAAATTCCTAGAGAATGTGGTATAGGATCTTCGGGTGCATTTTCAGTTGCTGCTACTACTACCATACTGTTACTAACCGGCTATTATCCACTTGTACAAGTTTGGGACATTGATAAGTCTCAACGTAAGTTAATATCTTCCTTGGCCAGAGACGCCGAATGCATTATTCATGGAAAATCTTCAGGTTTAGATAGTACGATATGTACATATGGGGGTACTATGGTTTTTTGGAAAGATCAACTTCCTTTATTTCAAGAAATCAATATCCCAAATCGTGATTCTGTAAAATTACTCATAGTAAATACTAACATTACTCGTTCCACATCTGTCGCTGTACAAAAGGTTTATGACAAGTGGAAGGAAGATAAAACGTATGTAAATTCCATTTTCAAAGAGATAGGTATTATTGTGGATGAAGTAATTGACATTTTGAATCAGAAACATAGCTGGGAAAGTGATCAATCTCTTACTCCTCATATTTATAGAAATCAGCACTTGCTTCAAGAATTAGGAGTGTCGCATTCAGTCTCAAATGAAGTAATTGAAGAATTAAAACAAGTTGGTATTCCGGCGAAAGTCACTGGAGCAGGCCTCGGAGGTTGTGTAGTTGGATTTATTCCAGGAGTAGAGCACGACAACTCAAAACTCGATGATCTTATCAGTAGTTTGCAGAAGCGCTCTTTATGGGCCAAAGTTACTTCTGTTGAAGCTACTGGTGTAAAATACAATTCCTATTTTATATAAATTCTTGTTCTCAGTAAACGTATGAAAAGTAAACTTAATTAATGAACGGTGGAAATAGTCATAGTCCGATTCGAAAAATATTTAAAGATTGTTAATGTTCCTAGTGCGAATTCGGTAGATAACTTGGGCACGCAGGCAACTGTATATATTGGTTATGTATTCACCAGTTATGCATATAATTCACCAAAGTGTACATCCACAATGTCAATCTAGCTCGTTTCGAGGCACTATATCCCTTTAAATAAATTGCGTTGCATGCGACAAAAAGTGAAATAATAGAATATTCTGTTTCAACATTCAAGTATTTCTTGACAAGAAGTTGACATAATTAGCTGTGTGTAATGTAATAAAACTTTCATATATGTGTATATCTTATAAGGTAGGGATGCGTTTTCTTAACATTATGATATCGAAAATGGAGGGGATCTAGACCTCAGTTTGATCGTTATTACTATACTAACAATCTGCGATTTGGTAAACACTCATCTGTACACAATTAATACATAGTTTCCAATTCTCTGTGAAACACTTCACTTTAGGTAGGGGTTTTCTGATCATTTTGTTTATCCTAGTTTTAGAAACTATATCAGTGAAAATTAGGTAGGTTCACGCTACCAGGTTAAAGTCTCCACGATTTTCATATTGAATGATCGGCGACGTTTGGTGATAGCTCATAAATAGTCAGTAACTGAGATATGTCGACTCTTACTCTTTTTCCGAAATCTAAGCTTTTAAATTCCTCACAATTTATTTCATTAATTCATATTTTGTTGAGTCGCATCTTCAAATCCAAATCTTTTCCATTGCCACTAATACTGATACTATCTCTAAAACTATGGGATTCGCTCTGACAGTTTTATCTCTCAGTGCTAATTTGGTATGGAAACTTCAAATGATGTTCGTTCGTATCAAGTTCTACGTCGCAGCTGACATACAAAAGGTGGTGTGTATCATTAAAAACTGAATGAATGTTTCGTTCTAATATTGGACTTCTCCATAATGTGTATCCACGACCCTGTTATCAAGTGTCGAATTTAGTACCTCCAGTCATGCGTGCAAACGTTCAACCTTTAAACTACTGAACCGCGGAATCTAATGATGTACAAGTCTAACACCAATCGATTTGGGATAGTGCTCGACCATCTAAGATATCGTTTATTTAAAGGAAACAAGTAACAGATTTCTAAACTCTGAGCTTACGATACATAGTATAATAAATTTTTATTGTACAGTTATCGATCTCGTATGAATCTGCAGAATGACTGTAACAATTGCAACTGATTAATAATCCAAGAACAATACATATTCATAGTCGTTTTTTGAAGAATGAGAATAGAAATTGGCTTTAGTGATAACCTAATCCATTGAATTAATTGGTAGAGTTTTACAGATAACCCATGTAAATAGATCTAGTTGTTTCAGAGGAAAAATTTATGGGGGAGGAAAAAAATCGATTGCATTTGAAGTGTGATTTACAAATGGATTAGCTGATCAAATTTTTTTTTAATGTTCTTTATCCAATCAAGAAGTGTTTGAACAATAAAAATTAGAAAAAAGTAATCATCATCAAGTCGGACGAAATAAGTGAAAATCGTTACCTGAGATAATAATCTTTAAGATAAGTATAATAGTAATGAACTTAAATGCAATTACAAACAAAAAACGACCAAGTAAAAGTGATTTTGGGGAAGTTTTTGAGATCGATTAATAAGATCCAAATTTTTATAAGTATAAGAATAAAATTAGTGTTATGTAATAAATAAATAAATATATGTATATGCGCATTATGGTTCTTTATTTTTCATATCGAGTAACAATTCAGCGGCTAAACCAGGAGCAATTTCTCTGTTGAACAATAATTTTTCGATTTCTTTTTGTTTCTCTTGAATCAATGGACTATTCTTGAATCTACGCCAAATCTCTTCTTTGACAAATGTCCACATCCAAATCTGCGGTTGAAAAATTAGGAAAAAAAAAATAGTGACAGTTATCGGTAACATCTGCAATGTTCAATAAGCGTATTGCTTTGAAGAACTCTCGATTATTTTTTCGTCTATTTAGTTCATGAATGTTAGGCAAAGTAATCTCTACTTACAAGACCTAGATTTCGCTACATTTGTTTATTTTATCTGGTAAGTTGGAGTGTTCTGACATACACAAAGCATACAGTTGTGCATAACTCTAGTAGAATGAGATGAAAACAATTGTGCTGAAGTATACACCATTCATCTACTAAATAAGCAAGAAAATGTTCAAAAGTGCTGGATAAAACACACTTATTGGAACATTGAAAACATTAAGGATAACCTTATCTCGCTTATCTTAAGTTTTGTGTAGCCTATATATGATCATTACGTCAACTGACTTTTTACCTTCCCAAAGTATTCATTAATACGATACAAATAATCTATCACTAACAAGGAACTCACATGTAATATCGCTTTTAGGGTTATATTAAATCATTCTGATCAAATGGAGATAACCACAAAGTTTTCATTCATAAGTGATTGGTTGAAGAACCAAGGATATACCAGGTGAACAGCCTCGATTTATTTTTGAGTAAGTATAAGCTAACTTGGCAAGTGGGAAGTTAAGATTTTATACTACTCAATTTACAGGCTCAGAGGTTAAGGGGTTCAACTTTCAGGTTAGAACACTACCTTACCTAATCGAACTTAGACAGTCGGGTAGCATTATTAGCTCTCGCATTTAGAGCGCCTTATATTTAGGTGGTATCTAGTGAAAGAGTTTATATAATAAAATAACAACAGTTTACAGGATTAGTTTATTTACTTTACACATATATGCGAGTCCAATAATCTGATCAGATAAAGTAAACTCCAACTATTATAAATCAACATGTTCCATTTAGTGTTATTTGTAAAAAGACATTTTAAAGTGTCAGTTTAATAATAGACTAAATTTTGATGATTCTCTATCAAGACACATAGGCATTCTGTGTGTGGATTGCCTCGATACAGCTATAATGTCACAAGTTATTTAGAGTAGATAGATTAAGGCTAACACCAGAATTCCAATGTGGACATCAATATTGTGATGGAACATTTAACTGATGAATCGTAAGTAAGACGAGAATCTTCAACCTTAAGTTTGAGCTGATGATGTTGTTCGGAAGAACAATGAAACCTTGACAACCAAAACATCCAGCTGAGAGAACGAAATCCCATCACGGAAACGCGCATATCCTTAATTCTACTGCTAGTCATTAATTAATTCAGTTGTATTAGTGAAATATAAAATAGAAATGAAGTTTCAGAAGTAATTATGATATTGACAATGCTAAATTGTTAAAGTCAATTTTTTTTAAGTGAATAGTTTGAAAATACTCTTCTTCTATTACAAAACAATATTTTTATTGAAGAAAATAAAAAGAGGAATGAATAAATGATTGAGTTAGCTAAAAATGATTTAAGGTGATTCTGTAGTCGGTTCTGAAAACTGGCAACAATGTAATTTCTAGTAATGAATTTACGATTTATGTCTGAGTGGTTTGAAAACTTACAAATTTCAATAGGTAGACTACATGTCCGAATATTACTTTGGTGAAGCCAGATAGTAATAAGGTTTACAAGCTTTAACATTTAAAATGTATCTCAAAGCTCTAAGTACACTAATATGTACTTGGTTAACTGAGCTACCTACATTAAACTAATTACTGTTGTATAAAAAAAATGTTTAGAAAATGATATTATAAAGAAAAAGTCCGCTGAAAATTTCAATTTAACTGAATGAATTAACTCACTTTTAATTGTTCTTTTCTTATTCTCTGTAATTCACCCGATTTAATTTGTGTCTGATGAAAATTAAAAGCTGTAGACCAAAATTCTATTAGACCATCACCTGTTAGACTGGATACAAGTTGAACCTTTTTTTTAGAATTATACAAATAAGGAAAAATAAATAATTATTATTCAGCTTACTAATAATTATAATCATAGTTAGTACAGATAAGATGAATGAATCTAAAGTTAGCTTTAAACGTTACTAACTAACTAACAACAATAACAGAAGAATCAGTTAAAAACAAGCACGTTAATTTAGAATTACTTCTCAGGGATTGTACATTCACACATAACATGAATTGACAATGTGGGTATAATATGTTGAAGGTAACACTAATATCACCTAATAAGATATTAGGTAATGAATAAAAACAGACCATCACACTCATTTGTCAAAAGATATCATACTCACATGGATACATGAAATTCTCAGGTTCAATCTAGTAGATGATTAAGGGTGAATACTAATAAGATGTTTTAAGCAAAGATAAAACAGATGTTCAATGCTTCCTAGTATTAATTGTTTTTCCTAATTATATTTGGTTAGTAATGAAAGTCAACTTGAAATTGATCAACCCTTACATACGCCTTCTCTACAAAAATTAGATGATCTCCTTATACGTTAGCTATTTGGTCAAATCAATGAATGATATGAGTATTTAATAAATCGATATGCATTTATGTCATTACACTTTTGAAGATAATAATTTTAAATCAATAAGCATGTTTTACAGAATTCATCAAATACAATGAATTTATTATTGTATAACTAGTGCGAAAAAAAATTTAACATTGAAATTATTCAGATGATGTAGTACAATACATTAATAATCAGATGTATTTTGTACATAAGTATTCAAAAGTCTAAACAGACACTTAAATTCTAATCTTCTGAATTCCTCATGACCTTTCTTTTTTTCTCTTTTAAGTTTATTTCACTGGATTATATTACTCGAATCACATTTTCGTAACCTACGCATCCAGAAGGTACGAGGTCTGAGTCCAGAAGAGAATCAGGATCCCGGACTACGGATCCGGGACCGGGTCCTAGTCCTGGTCGGTCATAAAACGTTATAGATAATGCGTATTTACATATTTTGGTCGAATGAGAAACAGCATCGAAGTCTGTGACATTGACAGTTAAGACGACCAATAGGAAGTAACATGTGAAGTGACATTGATAGTCAAGACAACCAATAAGAAACAGCATTGGAGCACGTGACATTGATATCTAGGACGACCATAAAATTGACCAGTAGGAATTGACCAATAATTCTCTTGGGATATTGGATGGATATCCTAACAAAAATACAACCGTCTGTTGTTTTGTAGTGAAAACTAAATGTTTACATTCCGGTGACTTTTAATCCTTACACTGGAATGAATGTTGTTGAACATATTTGAACTAGTGAATGAGTTACATGCTTAGATCAATGAATCCTAGCTATATCGAATAATCGCTATGTAGTGCATGTTAGTTGTTTGGCGTTAGTCAATCCCTTAAAAACTTTAGTGAATCTATTTTAATCCGTATTTTAAGCTCTTGTATTTCATAAAGTGACTGGCTTACTTTCGGTATCCAATTAGGTCTTCGACAACGTATATATTTCAGAGCATTAGAATATTCTGGAGCGATACGACAAGCTGGATGTAACAGTTCACCATCTGCTTTATTAACTAGAACTAGATCAGCAACTTCAACAATCCCTCGTTTTATACCTTGTAATTCATCACCTCCAGCAGGGGGAATAATCAGGACAAACATATCAACCATATCTGCAGCAGCAAACTCTAACTGTCCAACACCTGAAATCATAAGTAGACAAATTACGTTTAAATAATTAAGAGATATGTGTACAAATTTCTGAATTTTTTGAAGGCATAAACTTATGGTGGCCAGTTTCGAGACGGTCGGCATCCGATGTGTTCTTAGACTCCGTATATTGCTCGGCTAGACAACCGTCACTAAATAGCGCCTCACGGCTTATAAATCGTAAGACGAATACGAAGTGTAGAAGACGTTTATTTGGCACACCACAATTCGACCACCAAACAACAAGCACACAGAGCAAAAATCAATATGCGAGTACCGAAGGGCAAGCAAGCGAAAGAGCGAGTTAGCGAATTAGTATATATATATATATATATATATATATATATATATATATATATATATATATATATATATATATATATGGGAAAATGGCTGAGTCATCAACATTAAAGCGAAGAAGATGAATATGCGCGTAGGCGGTAAGCGATGTTCAGTTGTACCAGCTCATACAAACCAGGCAACAATAAAAGCCAATGGTACCTATAAGTTATTGCTATACCAAATAACTCGGTTAAATAGGTTAATCAAAAGGTTTAACCAAATTAAATATGAACGAACTCAAATGCATGTGGAGGTACGACAAACTTTCAAAGAAAGTGTTCAGCCACGGTTCGGTAGTAGATGTACAATGTGAGAAACTCAACTACAAATGTTTATTTATCTAACTCGGAAGTAAAACAACATAACTAAAAAAAAGCGACTCTCATCATTAAGTGACGTGAGTTCGAAACTAGATTAAAGTTAACAGATTCTGGATGGCTATTCATATGGAACAGACACTGATAAACATCATTCATAACATTTGAAATCATCAATCAATCATTGTTAGACCACCATCAGAAACCTGGAAGCACTGGACGGCCGTTTCGTCCTGTTATGGGACTCATCAGCAGTGCGCATCCATGACTTGATTGATGATTTCAAATGTGTAAAAACACAAACCTCCAAAACTCTGCCCCAAAATATCATTCATAACATTATAAAATAATAAAGCATCTAAGTGATATCACACAAAGGACGGATTTTTAAAAAAATTTCATATGGTGAAACAAATCACAAAGACGTTAACTTATGAGATATACTTTGCTGTTACTGTTCACTTTGCAAATTGTTTTATTGAGGAATAATATAAATATAACTAAACAATGAATAATACGAAGCTTTATTTTATGAGTTTATTTAAAATAATCAGTGCTGTGGTGTTTTTATTCCCTTAGTGCTAATGAGATACTATCAATAAAATTGCAATGAAACTACTACTACTACTACTACTCACTGATGAATAAGTGAAAATAACTCAATTCCACTAATTAGTCGTAGCTTAGTGGAAATATCTGCTACCAATATTCAGCGATGAAGATTCGGATCTTATAGAGCATAACAGTCCCTTGAAAAATAAAGATACACTGTGATTATGAATGCCAATCAGTATAAAATGTAAGTCCAGGAACGCCTGAATTACACTTCTAATGTTTTGACACAAAATTAGTTTGAGCATTTATTAATATAACTGCATATGCAATCTCAGGAATAATGAGAGTCTAATGGCAACAAGAAAGTATTCGTTGAGGTTGACATCAATAATTTTAATAATTATTACGAGAAATCTATTTTTACAAAAAATGTTTGACGAAATTAATCGATTTCTTTAAATACGTCTTTGGCAGACATATTCTCTAACCAATTCTATCTTGGGCTCTCTTTTCCAGTTGTTCCTAATTGCCATTCATTCTTTTCATGTCTGCCTCCTCCAATTATCAGCACGACGTGTTCTTTGATCCACCTCCTTTTCTTTAGCCTTGAGGATTCCAAGTTCGGACCAGTGTGTTATATGCTAACATACTGAATCTATTCAAAATGGTGAAAAATAAAAAAATAAAAAAATTACGAAATACAAACACGGACTTACCAACAGTTTCTACAAGGACGGTTTCAAAACCTGCAGCTTCGCAAAGTAAAATCGATTCGCTGGTTGCACGAGCAACACCACCTAAATTACCGCCACTGGGAGATGGTCGTATGTAGGCATCCATATTAGAGGACAACTCAGGCATTCGGGTTTTATCCGCCAGGAGACTACCACCAGTTGTATTTGAAGAAGGGTCTATTGCCAAGACAGCTACACGATGAGGTCTTTTGATTTCTTCATTGAGATAATCTTCGGCCGGTGTCAGTTGCTGCTTACCATATGGTGTATAGCAAGAATCGGTTACAGGATTCCATGGTCTTTTTCCTGTAAGGCGACTACCTAGTGCTTCAATAAATGAACTTTTTCCAGCACCTGGTGGGCCAGAAAGACCTTAAAACATTTTTCAAGAGAATCAATAATATTAGATAAGTTGTCTAAAAAAGAAACAGATGTCATATTAGTTTTATACAATCCATTTATTTGAGGAGAATACCTTACTGTTGTTACAGCCGTGTACAGTTAGCAGTACAACTTCACTCTTAAACTTTAAATTCGGGTTTATAGCCCTGACCGCCTATCTGATATTGCAGGACTCGAAATCTTTCAGCCAATACAGCCTCATTGGATCATGATGGTGTAAAAGCGCAACAATCGAATCACGAAGGTAGAAGTCATGGTCATTCCTCAAAGGCATTGTTAGTGTTTCGTGGAATGATTGAGTGAGCAATGTAAAAATTAGATATACCTTACCGTATTGAAGTTACGAGATGATCTAATTTAGACAACTAATGAAAACCTGAAAGTACACTGACTTCATTAAAAAATTAATTGGTTAGTATAGTATACTGTTTAAGAATGACAATGTGTATATAACAATATGTTGGGGACGTTAGATCCCTAAGAACTCGCTTGATAAATACCTTAATTTTGGATTCTATGTTTCCGAGAATGGGCTGATCAGTTGACCTTGGGATCGCATTTCCACCAGGAAAATCCTTGGCTGTGATTAGTTGTCGTGTTATTTTAGAGTGCCATTTTTATGACTCTCACAACGACGTCTCTATGACGTATAAATAGACGCGATTTGTGTGCTTGAGATGATTGTACTTGCTGGGTGTTCGTAGAATATACTTTCTACGCCATATCAAAACTTCTCGTTAGTCAACGGATCAGGGTAGCCTACCTGGACGCTGGTTCATTGTCTCGTTCTCGTTTATCGACTAAGGTGAACCCGTAGTAGTTTCAAGCATACCTAGTGACGATCATAACACAATAAAATTTCGTAGGACATTTCGTAGCTCAGTTTTGGTAGGTAACAGACGTTAGTAGTTGACTACAATAAGTGAATGAATAGTACTGATAATAAACACAATCAAAACTAAAAGCAGTATTTTTATTACAAGTTAGCTAATTTAGTAGATAAGTTGGAAATATTAAAGTTAAACTGTTGAAGAACAAAGTATTTTAATTTTCTACCTCATAGTGAAGTTTGTAAATTCAAACATAAATATATTATGAATTAGTTAACAACAGAAAACTAAGTATGCATTTGTGTAGTCATCATAACAACCAGTGATACAATTCAAACGGTATAATAGCAGGAAGATCTGAAGTAATGAGTTTTTTCTTTACTGATCAATGATAGTTTTTTCACACTTCCACATTAACCTTTGCTATTATTCGATTGGTTGTTCTCACTTTAATGATTTCATTATGTCCCAAGGTTGCTTTCAGTTGATATATATATAGAGCTGTTACGTCATAATAATGTCTTCTAATACATCAGACTTTTCTTTCCTGTTATCTCTGTCTTCCATCGTGTTGGTGATCAAATTTGAGGTTTTTTTTATTCCAGTCGGTTGTTCTATTCAGTCCGCATAGATCAAGTTTCGCGTATTATAAAAATATTTTTCATTATAGAGTTGTGGAGACTGTTAAGTTTGATCGAAATCATGAATCCATCAATGTTAGACCATCATTAGAAACCCAGAAGCACTGGACGGCCATTTAGTGTTAGAATTGGAAGCATCAGCATTGCTCATCCACAACCCCCGCTCTTAGGAGTCCAACCAAGGATCTTCGGTCTCGTGTGAGAACGTTTAAGCTCTGAACCATCGAGCCGGCGTCCGACGGTGTTAATGTCTAACTTCGATCAATGCACAGTTAGTGCGACCTTATTCGGCCGCCCAGTGCTTCTACGTTTCTAAAGGTGATCAAACATTGATCGATCCGTGGTTTAAATAATAAAAATATACCAATCATCCGTAATTAGGAATTATCGTAAACCACAGTAAAACGTAAGATATAATCTAAAGATTGTGAAGCGAAATTCAGAAAGAAAAAGCCAAAAAACTACTAGATTTAGTTGGTAAGTGCGAGACATAATTCTAAAGGGGGAGTTTTAACAAGCATCTGGTCTTTAAAAAAGATCACTCATCAATTTTAATGACTTAAGATGTTAACTTATGAATGAACAGATAGGATACATGTTAGACAAAAATGCATAGTAGAATAATGAAAAAAAGCTTACCAATTCTGAATGTATATTTTCCCGTAGTGAGTTCCTGTTGCATTAAATGCTTTATTATTGTATCAAGAATATATTGACCTTCAGCACGACGTTCAGCTTTAGTAGATTCCAAAAGTGTGATTGCCTTTGCTAAACTATAACGATCACCTTGAATTAAAGAATTTGCTAATATTTTAGCATATTCTGTTTGGTTAATAGATAATGAAGTTATCTTTTTAAATATAATAGGAATAGAATGGATATACGTTTTTGAGTATTTTACTGGGAACATCTTGAAATGATTACACGACAGATGAATATGAAAATAGCGATGAAGAGTAGTTTCAATTTCGCTCTGAGATTATTTATTGAATGTCTTTTGCCAGCTTAAAGTTATTGGAAATAAAATAATCATGAATAGTAGTTAGACTGAAATCTATTTACTCAACAAAAAAAAATAACACGAAAATTGAGATTCTTACAGAGATAACAAAAAATAAATTTGTGAATTTTAAGGTTAATTAACAGAAAATGTACACAATTCAAACAGCTTTTTTGGCAGTTACTAGTAATGAACATATTAATTCGAAGCTAAACATGAAATATGATTTTGGCCAATTTTAAAAACTATATCATCGAGACAAACAAATGAACTATTTTAATTTTAAATCCTGGAAACATTATACAGAAAAAAAAATTATTAAATACACTTCATTTAACTGATATAATGAACAAAAACCAAGCCATTGAATTACAAAATCATGGTTGGATAACTTCTCTACAAAATTTTGAGCACAACAAAAATGTATATATTACAATACACAGTGAAAATCTACTTTTATTTAGCGAAAAAGCCATAGTAATAAACGATCAATATTGATAGACAGTTGATGGTATATACGTATTTTTATTTGTCACTTGAGCAATAAATAACTTCTATCCGTTTTACAAATAATTAGGCACCCATAATATAACACTGTGATATACCGGTAAGCATCATCAACATAGAGCCTAGGCATAGATGTGTGTTGCTCCACATCCCCACAGCTGATAGCAGGAAGAGATTAAAATAACACACAATGTAGTACCAATCGTAAAAAGCAAGACAATGATCAAAACGTTTTAGCCCATATATCTTATGCCACAAGTAAAGTAAGTTAGAAGAATCCAACAAGATTTTGCGAATACGTCCAGTGATTCCATTAGACACTAGCCCATTAGAGCTAATGAGACTTCCAAGATGAGTGAGTTGGTCAACGAACTCAAATAATTGACTCCTTATCTCTAGTGTTGGCATCGACACAGAAAAGGCTTGTAGCATTTATAGGGTGATAAGAGCGTCTTAAACATGGTAATATTACTGATCAAGATCGTGAAATTCTGCATTTTATCAGAGTTTTCACCAAACAGACTACATGGTTTGAGTATTTAAAGTCGCCAAGTGAACATAATCTGAAATCGCCCCTGAAATGTTGGGTGGAGAATGTATTATTTCTAGGGGGGCATCTATAATCAAATTAAGTAAATGGTGAGCAACGTTTATGGGCACTAATATGAGTTATCGATTCTGATAACAGATCTCAATAAGCTATAACTAGACCAATAGTATCTGAGTAGCGAAACTTCATAAGTTTACTTACCTCTTCAGAACGCATTTCAATGGTAAACACCGCTACAAAACCTCTTGATCAATAAGAATACAACTATAGTTCGATATTGGTGAGTTACGGGATATCTTAATTTTCCATTCAAGTTGATTGACGATATAGGGTAACCTAAGGGGATGTTGAAACCAGTTGAACTGTTCCTTGAAGTGTCTCGCCAACCGATCTAGTCTCCTAGATTGTGAGTGAACAACATCCGTCTTTTTCGAAGATAGTCTCACGAACACCTGTTTTCTTTGACCAGTCGGTAGAGTTGTCTAGTGTTAACCATTGAAACTGCTTGTTCCATTTAGTTTGATTTTGTTGCCCATCGCTACTCCCAATCACTGTGTCAACTCTTTGCTAGTTTACTTTTGAGTTGCTGTAGTTCTTCAATGTTTCTTAAGCCTGTCGCGATAAGTTTTAAGGCATCCATCAATTTATTAGATATCATCGAAAGCCACTGGATTTTAATGAGTTTCTGATTTAGGTTGTTGATAGATATTACTAGTGTATTTTCAACCGGTTGGATATCTTTTCAGGATGAATTGTTTCTCTAGAATCAACCAGATCTTCAAACAATTCTCGACCAGATGTATTTTTCACCTTTCGATCCTCAAACTGATGTCTAAGGGACCCTCAGACGTCACTGTCCTACGTCCAATAAAACGTATAGAATTGTGTTTATGTTGAAAAAAAGGCTTTTTGAGATGATAATGATGTGTGTAGATTGTCGTTTTGGAATACTAGAACTAAGTCACTATGTATTGGTAAAAAGTGAAAATGCTAGCAAACAGCAGGCCATTGATGCATCGCTTAAAAATGTTTTAAAGGATGATATATAGATTGACACTTCTGGTTATCTAAGTGTTTGACATGGTTGTTAAATTTATGACTTATTTTACTTAACAAACATTCTGCATAAATTATAAAACAGCACCAACGGAATACTGGACAACATCTCATGTTATCCAATCGATTGCCAGTCCAAAATTAGGTTTTCTTGACCTTCACAGTGGAGAAGTGGATTAGGGTCAGGGAGGGATGAGAGGTTGAACATATCTTTTCTGTAGAAAATCGGCAGTTGTTATAATGAGCAATGAGTTCAACTAACGTTGGAGTTTTGAAAATCCAATAAAGCAATAATTTGAAATGTCTTCAAAAAGTAGGACAAAGAAGTGAATAATATAGGAATAAGGTCACAAGAATGCAACAAATCGATTGAAAAATGAACCAGTGTAGAAAAAAAGCTTTCTAAACAAGATTAGCTAAGAAATTTCAGAATGATTATTTGATTTAAAAGCATCAATGCGACATTGATGATATGAGGTTACAATTAACAAATCCATAGTAATACAAAAAGTACCGTGTAAAACGAAGATCGAATTGATATGATAATATTAAGTAATTCACCCCAAGCTTCATATACTTTCTATATCTGCCAATCATTATCTTCAATAATACATTTTAATGAAATACTATCAGTGTACATAACTAAAATCATCGTGAAAATAGCTTTTATGACTAGTGTAATCAAATTTAGCATGACAATAGAGAAGAAACTGCTAAATATCTGTTTCAATTCAGTTTTAAACTCCTCAATACATCCGGGCAATGTGATGAGCATAGGATAATATAAATCACTGGATTCCAATTCAACGATTTAGAGGTATTATGCGAAACCTGTTAATCCTTGTTACGATATGGTACATAGACTACTTACTTGCTAACTTCGTGATATGCTTGAAACTATTACGAGTTTACCTTACTCGGTAAATGGAGCGCAGATCAATGATGCAGTGACACGACAGACTATGCTAATCCGATTGTCCCAGGCCACGTTGACAAGAGCAAGAAGTCTTGATGAGGAGTAGAGAATGTATTCTACAGGCTCCCAGAAAGACTGAGGTTCCTGAGCACACAAATCTAGCTTATTTATGCAATGATACAAACGCCCTTGGGAGAGCCACAAAATAGCGTACTAAAATAATCCATCAACCAATGATGGTCAAGGATTTCTGAGTGGGGAATGTAAGCTGAAGGTCAACTAGGCGTCTCTGGCGCGAAAACAACGAAATTCAAAATTTCAGGATAAAATTACAAAATTAGGACCTTTTCCAAGTGAATTCTGGGAATCTAACGTCTCCAACACATCATTTCAACCTTTCAAGATGAGAAATTTCTAAAAAGTTGAATGATAAATATAAAGCATTTAATTAAACGAACAAAATTTCCCAAGCTATTTATGAAAATCTAATTATACACATCATCATTGCATTTATTGATTGTTCTATGTCATAAAGCTCTATGTAAAAGTACATAGAACATCGTTCAGAAGATATCTGTATGTATATAATTGTTCATATTAGACCGAAATCGATAATATATATGTAAGCACTATTGATTAATGTAATGTACACTGACTAAACTACATGAGTTAACTATCAAAACACAATAATGAAGATCAGAAAATAGTACTACGAGCAGTTGTAATGCAACAATCACATTATGATTTGCGAAAACTATTAAATCACAAGGAAAAACAAAACAGAACAAAACTTAACTTTATTATGAAGTTTATTCTAAAATTAAAAATGAAAAAAAAAAGGAATTCATACACATGAATTATCATGCAAAAACCAACCAACAACCAAGAAATAAAAAATAAAGAAGAAATATAGTTCCTGTCATTATCAGTAATCATTGTGTATGTACACTAGAAAAGAAAAAATAGAACATTAAATTGGATAATACTTACACGCTGTTTTTTCTTTTGTAAAATAAATAAAAAAACAAAACAACCAACTACTCTACATTTACATGTGAGTAGTAAATAACTGGAGAGGGTGAAACAAAAGGAAAGAAGAAAAAAATTCAAGGTAACCAGAAATACACACACGTAAAACAGATATGTTGTTGATGATGAATAGTGCGATTTCATTGTCAATCAAATCAGACTACACACTAGTCATTTGTATGATCATAATTATAGAGAGAGAAAAAAAAGTAAACAAACAATTTATTGTTTTGGTTTTTTAATGAGCCTCTTTTTATTTTATTTTAATTTTTTTTTAAATAAAAAAAAGGAGAAATAAATAAAAATCAAAACACACAGACAATAAACAGGGAAGATCTGTAATGAATTGTAAAATAGATTAATGATGAATATTCTGTAATTCTCTCTATTTGTATAATGAATGATGAGCAGTGGTAGAGCTTTGGAAAATATTTAAAAAAAAACAACTCATCAGTTGTTGTTTAGTTTTGTTTTGCTATTAAAAAAATAATCTGAATCATTAACTTTGTTCAATAGTAATGTGTAGGTATGAGGCAGGCGACGAGAAAACATGATAAAGAAAGAAAAGTAAATCTGTGTGTGTGTGTATAAACAAATATCACAACTAGAGCTGAAATCAATCAGTAAATCAATTTATCAAGTTAAAAAAATTAAAAAGCATAACCAATGTTTAAATGATATCATTGAAACAAATGAAGATATATTATATATATATATATATATATATATAGATATAGAGGATATTCTCTTTCACATAGTAATAAGTATAAGAGGTATTTGTTTTTGACAAGCATTATATTTATATGAATCATTACTGTCAATGTTTGTATCACAATTGTTACTATTGTGAAGTTGGGGCACGATTAATAAATAACAATTAAGTCAGTAAACAATTGATAGATGTATGTGAATAAGTTAGAAAGAAGATTATTATTATTAATAATAATAATAGTAATAATAATAATAATAATTTGTCATTATTCTATCAATATAAATCATTCATGAAAAGAAAAATTTACTAAATGAATCTGCTTCTGAATATCGTTGTGATTGGTAGTCTACCATATATATGTCAGCAGTAGTTCTCTGGAATATTTCTCCAGTTAAAAATTCATTCATATTTGACCAACTATGATTATAACCATTAATTTGATATTTTACAGAAATGTGTAAAATAGAGGAAGAACAAATACACTATAATCTGCTTATAAATTGGAAAAGAGAATTTTTTTAAAAAAACAAAAATTAATTAAGAATCTTAATATTACGGGGGTGATGTTTATGAAAACATTAATAGTCATGAAAAAAATAAACAAAATTGTTATATTGTGTAAACTAAGTAATAAATTAGATGGCATTTCTCTTGGTTTACATTATTTTATAATTTTATATGAATCGATTTTAAGAGAACTAAAAAAAAATTATGAATTACTATTAAAGATAATTTCTATTAACTCATATAATGTATTGCTGCTGTCTTTTACACCAAAAGAAAATTAGTTAATCTTAGTTTCATTTAACAACACTGTACTAGCTTGTTGTTCATTTATTTTTATTAAAGTGATAGTACATTATATGTTATCAGAATAATTTATCAGTCAATCAGTTAGTCAGTTACAATGTAGAACTTTGTACCTGCGTACATCAGTTCAAGTGGACATACTAAATGAGCACAGAGACGCAACTGTCAATTCAAATTCCATAGTAGTAGAGGTAGTGAAAGTATGAGCAGTAATCGGAAAGATTAGGGTTTGAAGATTTTATTCAAGAAGCATAATCCAGTTAGATAAATTCGGGATGAGAAAGGCAAAGGTAATCAGGCATTCAGAAGACTACAATCTGAAAGAAGTCAAAGAATGGATGCACTCGTGTTGTTACAAATGATTTTGAGCCATGTCATTCAAGGTCGCCTACCATCGATTTATATCATCTCCCGTACCCCAACCAGGTAGTATACATCTACCAACATGATTTAGTCCACTTGTAATTGATTGTATGGATTTGTGCCATGTTAGCATTCTTCCGGCCTACACTTACACCACAAAACATAGCTCATCAAGGCAGTCAGTGGTTGGACATATGTAACACATGTCAACTGATGTAGTTTAAATACTTCATCTATTGATCTGCCTCCTTACCTAGTACCCGTTTTCCTAACACTAGCATTGCTTACTCGGTAGTCCCACGATATACGAGCAATGCTTCTGAAATATCAATGATCGAATACTAGTAACCTACGAATTTCTTCTACTCTTACCAGCCATGTTTAACAGCCGTAAATTAGGACGCAGCGAACTGCTGCGCAGTACACTCATCCTTTGTTTAGCAGACAGATATCTAGCCGATGCCATGAGTGACGCAAGTTGGAAAAAGCTAATTGAGCCTTCTGTATCCGTGCTGAGATTTCGTCAGACACCAGACCATCACCATTGATGAGACTCTCCAGATAAGTGAAGCGGTCAACATGCTCAACTGCCTCACTCCCTATCACTAGTTCATTCAGGTGCCAATACAAGCCAATCTTGATGCAACATTTTACATTGTGATCGTAAAAATCGCAACCAAACGTGCTTTCATTGTTGCAAAGGGTAGTCAGGAGACACTGCATTTAGTCAGCGTCTTCACCGAACAGGACTATGTCATCAGCATACTTTAAGCCAAAGTAAAGTAAAAGTTCAGCTTTTTATGAAAAAAAATTGGATTCGATAAATTAAAGTTGACAAATCGAAGCAAGTAAATTTGAATCATGTCTTAGAGTAGTGAAGAATTCGAAAGAAGCTCAACTTGAATAAAAGTAAGTATATTCAACAAGAAAAGTAGTCCTTTCAGGACATTAAGTCAAAATGGTTTCTAAACCGAACGGCCTAAATTACAAAGGCATTATTATATTGTAATATAATTATCTTTACACTGTTAAATATCAGCTCAGTGGTTACTAAATCAAGCATCTGTACGCGACCGAAGGTCCTGGGATTAGATTCCAGAGTTCTGAGTCGTGGATGCGCACTGCTGAGGAACGGCCGACCAGTGCTTCCACGGTTTTAAAGGTGTTTTAACATTGACCGATTCATGATTTCAATGAAACTCAACAATCTCCATAACTGTATACCGATAATTATTTTAGGTTATTATTTTCACACTTACTGAGGTATATATTTCATTTGTATAGTTTCCAAAATGTTTCAGGATCTTGATTTGAGGCTCTGATTTCTTCTTCTTGAAGCATTTTGCATAAATCATAACTAAAATGTAATAATTTTTTTTTAAATGTTGATAACAAATAGATAGAAGGTGAATTAATATATTTTAGTTTCTAAATATTTAATTAGAATAAAATTCACTGAAAAATAACGTTATTAACATTAAAGAATATTAAAAGAAGACATTTTTTAGAAAATTGTACTTGGCAATTCGATATAACGGGTAACATATACAAGCTTGATAATCATGCCCAAGTTACATAAGTTAGTAGAAGTGATCAACAAAGTATGCATTTTTCTAGGTTTTAATTATGTATATTTTGTGTAAATATGTATCGTTTCATGTTTTCGAGTACCTGCTAGTTCGGGACTAGCATCAGTAAGCACTGGTTAGTTGTTTTAACCAGTATAGGACCCTGCAGCAATGCGCACCCACTACATTGCCATAGGGAGTAGGACCCAGGATCTTCGATCTTGCACGCAAGCGTTTAACACATACACTACTAAACTGGGATCCGATGGCGTTAAGCACTTACGCTGGAGATAAAAGATCTAGCGTTTGGTGACAAGACCCGAATTATGACGAAACAGCTGTTTACTGTTTCCTGGTTTTCAACGGCCTTCTAGCTTAATAATAAGTAAAAGGTGTTTATTTCTCATCAGCTTTTTGTCGTTTGCATTCTTTACTGTCTAATTATTTGAATGCTTTTTATTGTTTGGTTTTAATAATTGTTAACGAATTTTATTTAAATGCCTGGATTTTTCCAAGTTTTCGACCTACCTCCTATTATAAAACATTAATTCAAGCTTTTATTATTGCGAATAGTACACCTATTGTCATACAAGTAACTTGTACTTTTTACTTAATGTGTTTAGTTAAGTCACCTGTTACGTTCTATGATATTTTCATATATGCGAATCAATATGGATGTACACTAGAATAAAGTATGATTAAAAGTTAACTAAAAAAAAACAATATTAATAGTCTACACATGCTGTTCTAATTCTACATGAAATTAACAAACACTCACTCAAATGAAGTTGAATTATTCTCAGTGAAATTATACACAGGTATGGAATCAGAATGTTGTTTTTCAGCAAAATTATTTTTACTGTTATTACTATTAGTAGTGCTTTTACAGTCACTTATGCATTTTGAATCTAATTTATCTGATTTAACTGTAATAACACGAACAGCATCAGATGTCTTTTGATTTGATGAATCCGAAGTTGTTGGACAAAACAGCTGAAACAAGCAATCGACAAATTGTGTATCCCCATCTAAATCATTTAGCAATTCCCAAACAATATTTGGTTCATTGAGAAGACCCATATCTGTAACTAATACAAATATTGAATCCTAAAACAAGAAATGATTTGCGGAAAAAAAACACGTTATTCAAAATAATTATTTGCTTTTAATCAAAGGAATACCATACATTTAATTGTATAATCTTCGGGGAAAAAAAGTCAAAATAATCGATACAATTTGAAAACAACAGAAAATTAAGTATGCCATCATAGTAGCGTAAATTGGGGCGATGAGACTGGGGTATAATCAGTGACACGGAGAAAGAAATAGTAAGTTATTAGCAGATACTCTAATTCTCATCACAGAATGACATCAGTTGACGGTTCAGTGAAAATCAGGAAAAACTGAATAACTGTTAAGACTAAATGCGTATGTGCACCAAAGATCATGCATAAAATATGCAGAATTTCCAGGGTTCGATAAGAAGTATGACAATACTAGACGAAAGATTATAACTAACAGCACACTTGTTAACATCAGTCAACTTGCAATGTAGCTCAGTCCATCAAGTAAAATTATGGGTTAATTACCTCATTACGAAATGGTTGATGTCAAAGACAACTTTTAATGGAACTCCATGAGTATAATAGGATTATGGATAAGGACTAGTGTTGAATCGTGAAAGTTTTAAATTGTTTATAAAAATAGACAACATGTTGATCAACAAATGAGTAAAGAGGAAATAATGTAGCAGAATGATAACTGCTTATGAAGCTAAAATGTCAACTTAATCTACTGCAAAAGTGAAAAAACCACTACTTAGAAGAATAGTTCGTTTCAAATGTTTACATGCAATATATTAATACAAAAATAAGCATGATAACATATCATAAAAGACTGGAGGGATTCATTGGCGTAGGTTGCTCACCACTGTTCAATAAACTGAGATCTGCACTTTTTGAAGCTTCACAATAACTCATGATTGTTTTCCTGGTTATGCAAGTTCATTATGAAATAATCACTAATAGTTTCGCTGACCTAAATTCATAAGATAATCGATGAGTTCCATATACTATATTTTCACAACTGGTTATTTATAAAAATGATATTTAATTATCTCTGTTCAATATTACTTTTTTCATTCTAAAAGTAACTGGTCAATTTCATCTAAAAATGAATTCATAAATACTTGTTTCAATATTCATTTGTTTTTAAATAGTGCAAAGTCATTACTTGGTCATACTATACCAAACCTTGGTCAATTGATAGGTATTCTCATTATTCATTTTCTTTGATTCAATGGAATGTGACACGTGATGAGTGGAAACAATCTTCAAAATCGATATATATATATATATATATATATATATATATATAGCGTATATAAATGAAATATTGAAGTCATAAGATTTAAGCAAATAAAGCTAAAATGAGGACATTTGCATAATAAAAATGATGGATTTACATCTTACTTTATGTTTTAATATAGTGCTAAAATGATTATTTCGAAAGAACACAGCCAATTCTTCGTCATGTAAAGTTGTAACTAATTGACTTAGACCATGAAAGGTTAACTGTGAACCGCTTTCATTTAGAAACCATTCAACAAGTGCACCTATTGTTTGAATAAAAAAAATAGAAAAATCAAATAATACATCTTATAAATTATATGATATTGTAATGATATCAAACCAACTTTTGGTATGGATCACAGTAATGTAACAGCTATGGATAAGAATTGAATTTGTACAAACAATTTTCGCTAGTAATCATACAGTTCTTATGTATGAAATACTTTGGGATGGATATTATGCATTTTGAATGGCAAATCAACTAATTCAGCAGAAGGGTTGATGCTTCACAAAAATATCAGATGATTATAACAATGTTTTACGTTGTAACTGATTAACTGACAACAATATCTCGAAGTAAATTTTGTCCGACGGTGCAAAACATTGCAACCTATTGGTTAAGCGTTGATGAACATGTCATGAGATTTAAAGGTCTTGGATTATATTCTCCATATGGATATGAATATCACTCCACTCATCAAGACTAGCCTGAATCTACTGAAACTAGATAACAATAACGGTAACAAGCTTATCGAGTTGTTATTAAAGGTTTCCTAAATATTTAATGGACTTTGAACGAAAGAGTTCCAGCTATGAATTAGGAGATGAATAATTCAAACTAGTACTCAACCAGATCAAATTAGTCTGTTAATTTCGGCTGAAATACACAAGAATAGGATGAAATAATGATTGCATGAAACTGTTTCGAGTACTACTGCCACTACACACACAACCACGAAATATCAACATTTTCTTGTGAAACACATTGAATTACAGACTACAAGCAATAATCCTATATGATTCAGCAGAAATCTCAACATTTATTGACCATATGATAATGCTTTTTTCATTCATGCATCAGCACATTTTCGTATATATAGATTCTTATTCATTCACATAAATAAAATCATTAACTAAATTTAATAATAGAAAGAATTTTATACAAGTATTCCACTTACTTCTTTTTAAATCTTCAAAATTATCAGATGATTCCAGACGAAGCAACTCTTCAGTTAATTGATTATAAGTTCTATTACCAATAGTTGCAGCTAAATCATGTTCATCAGGATCCACAAGCCAGCCATGATAAATGTGTATGTTGAACAAATCAAATAAACTCAATGTTGAAGTGTATTCAAAATCTGAAACACTTATGAAATAAACAATGATAACAATATATACTCATACGATTAATAGATACAAAAAAAAGAACATGAAAAGTTTTTAAATAGTTATAAGTAAAACAAAATTCGGAATTATTATTATATTATCAGAAAAATCAGTCAATATGGTTCGAAACTTGACTGGCCAAATCAATGAATCATACATAGCTTTAACCTTGAACTTAGTGACTATTAAAGCATTCTGATACGCTATAATTGATAATATACCATCTACTGCTTGAAAGCTAATCATATCGAGCGAAGTGAATCTAAGTAGTTAGTTGGTTGTTAAAAGTCAAGTGTTTAAATCAATGACCATGTGAGCTGTCAATAAATAATAAAAAGACAATATATTACATAAGGACTATTGAATAAACGTTACTAAACGATCGGCATTTGTCAATAGTGAAAACAAACTATAGAAAAAAAATATTTTGCTACGATTTAGTCACATCCATACACACAACTACTCAAACACAGGCTAGGCTAGGTTATTTAAGAAACTCTAGTGAAGAAAGAATATCATAGATATTTTTCCAAACTCACTGAACAAGATCCTTCCTCATAGTTGAGTGAAAACACAATCGATACGCGTTTCTTGATAACTAAGACCCAACTATGATCAATATCAGTGTACGGTTTGGATAGTAAACACATGAACAACTGAGCTATTACGGTTATCACTTACTGATTTGACTGAGCGAATGATTAGTCAGTCGTATTGAATACAGATGAATATGCATTTTATTGATTTATTTGACTTAACGCATATAAATTCCGACATAATAGGATATTAAATACTTTTAGTAATCTATAGATCCTTTGCAATCCTTATTTTAAAGAAATTTGTTTCCTTAAATAAAAATTCGATAAACCATGAACAAACGACAATAACTCCAAACTGATACACGTGAGTATGAAGTTCTACGTTGTAGCTGACTGACTGAGCTCCAAACCTCATTCTTTACACCCACGTACAACAGTTCCTTTTCTCTCCTAGCTCTGTCTACTACAAAAGACATGACTTCCACATAAGATTTATTTGGTAGAAACTAAAAGGAACTGATTCAAGCAGTCGAAATATGCACAAGGTCCTTCAAATGAGGTGAGACTCCACATTTCCTCGTGCGAAGCTGGCAGAGGTGAAGAATAGTCCCCATGGTTACATTTGGCGTGAAAAGATTTAAATTTACAAAGTACAAGCAGCAAGCAGTTTTGCTATCCTTAGCTCATTTATTAAACACAAATACTGGTACAAACTGACATCTAAATATTTACGCGCCATACAAATTACTGAATCTGTGTGTGACCTGGGATACTGTTCGGTTTTCCAAACAGAAGCATGTGGTTTTCTTAGGGAGCTACTTCCTGAAACTTTGACCTAAACGTATAATAAACAAAGTAGTGGAGCAGCGTTCGGAGATGGAATCTCATGGTTGCTCGGGACCAATAATAAATTCATATATTATTTGTCCCGTCAGGATCCTGAAGTCTATGTGCATTATTGATATGGAATTAGGGTTTTACAACTCCCGTAAGTGGATCCTCCACACCTACCAACTCAGTTAAAGAGACGGAAATTCGAATTTCAATTTCGTAAACAACGCCCCCAATAAGAGAAGGTAGTAAGTAGGACTTCCCTAAACGTAGAAATGTACTCGTGGATATATGAGAGCATTCGGAGAACAAGAGAGGATTCCTCACATTCTCGGCTGTACCACAACATTAGATGGCTTAGTGTTAAGATATAAAATGTTTCTCTTAGATCTTTCTTACAGTGAAGACTGACTGAAAACAGGAAGTTTGGTGACTCTAGGAAACAAGTAAAAAATTTGTATTTTCAGCTTAGAGAGTATATCGATTGATTTAGAATAATTGATAAGATCTGATCATTACAACACAACGAACAGATCAAACATTTTGTGAGGATTCATGGATTAAGGTTAAAGTGTCAGGACCAATTTGTATGTCTATAGTAAATACTCGTTAAAAAATGTCTTATATCATGAATTGAATATCGCTAAACATTCATCGAAAACTAAGGAGAACTGTACAACATTTTCATTCCAATGTAGAACTACTTAGCAGTGCACATTCATGACGCATATAAGCTTTCGATATAACGCGAAAAGAATTGAGCTTGATAATTAAGCATTAATTTCATTGAACAGTAAATAATTTATGGCTGCCATATCATTCCATTAATTATTTATTAAATGACTTTTAATTATGAATATTCTTATATTTAATAATTAGAAAAGAAGTCGATTATTGTGTTAGAAAGAAAAACCTATTCAACTGAATAGCTGTCTTATCTTCTGATATCAATTCAATTGGGATGCTTATGAACAACCGATATCACTTGGCTACTTTGTACTATGGATTAACATCTATAGATTAGCAATGGATTTACTCATTCGACAATTCAAAAAAACTTGTTCATGAAATCGTCATTGATAATAGTTTCAAATCGAAGGATTTCAGACATCACAGCAAACTCATTATAACTGAAGACAATTAATGAACTTAAAATCTTATGATTCGCATTTCCAAATACAGTTAATTTGTATAATTGGTGACAATGATGATAATTCTATCACACACTCCCTACATAAGTGAACTTTATCAGTCACAGGTGTTTCTACATAGAAATTTAGAAACTTTTCTCTTGAATATTCATTTACTAATTTAGAAAGCAGATAATAAATAAATACGATTGATAAAGTGAGTCATTTAGATGATATGATCAGATGAATTGTAACCTTAAAAAAAAACAGTTTCGTTCTTCGTTTCCAAATTTAATAAAAAATCAAAATTTTCGTTGCACACTTTCGGTTAATTCAGTATATTTGAACAATTAGTAGTACTGTATAACATTTTATTTGATATTTTTAGTTATAAATAGGAATTCGCAATCAGTTATTAGTTTACTGATTGTAAAATTTAATCAATAAGTGATGCTTAGCTTTAATTCGTCATTCATTTTTTCTTTATATGAATGAAAATAAAACTATTAAACTGAAATGCTCGCCAATTGATAAGCTTGAAACTATTACCAGTTCACCTTACACGGTAACGAGAGCGTAAACAAATGATGCAGTGACACGATAGGCTATTCTAATCCGTTGTCCCTGCCACGGATAACTATATCAAGAAGTCTTAATAAGGAATAGAGAAGGTATTCTACAAGCACTCAGAAGATACGAGGTTGCTAAGCACACAAATTAAGCTTATTTATACAATGATAGGAACGCCCTTAGGAGAGGCAAAAAAATAGCGTACCGAAATAACCCATCAACCAATGACAGTCAAGGATTTTCAGAGTGAGAAATATGAGCTCAAAGTCAACTGAGTGGTTTATGCGTGAAAACATAAAAGAATCCAAAATTAGGATCTTTATCAAGTGAGTTATAGGGATCTAACATCCCCAACATAAACTAAAATATGATAATTATTATCACTATGAATAATATAGTAATACTTACCCAGTAAACCTGATATTTATATCAAGTCCAGTTTGTAAACTGGGAAATAAACAAAGTGCATCACGAAAATTTGACTCATAATTAATTTGTTGACCATAATCAAGATCCTATGTATATTATGGAAGTAAAAATAAAGAGAGAAACACTTTTATTTAAAAGTTGAATGGTATTACTGATTTTTGACAAGACATTTACGTTAGTCATGTGCAGTCAGTCAGTTGCAACGTAGAACTTCGTACGTATGTACATAAGTTCATGTTGCCATACCACATTATTAGTACAGAGACGCAAATGTCAAATCAAATCCCATAGTGATAAAGATGGTAGAGGTATTAATATTAATAAAGAAGACTAGGGTTCGAAGATATTATTCAAAAAATATAATTCAGTGAGATAAGGTTAGAAAGACAAAGGTAGAGGTGCTGGCTAATCCAGAACATTAGGATTTGAGAGAGCTCAAAGAGTGGATGCACCTGCGCCATTGCAAACGATTTTGAGCCATGTCATTCAAGGTCTCTAACCATTGATGACTTTCGTCTCGCGGACCCCAACCAGGTAGTCTACATCTACCAACATGACTCAGTCCACTTGTCAGTGACTTCATGGATTTCTGCCATGTTTTGGTCTGGCCGCCCCTAGCTTTCTTCCAACCTACTCCTACACCACAAAACATAGCTCGTCGAGGCAGTCGGTGGTTAGGCATACGTAACACATGTCCCAACCACCTCAACTGATGAAGTTTCACCACTTCATCTATTGATCTGCCATCCTTACCTAGTACTCGTTTCCTAACGACAGCATTGCTTACTCGGTTGTCCCACGATATACGAGCAATGCTTCGGAGACACCGATGATCGAAAACCAGTAACCTACGAAAGTACTCTACTCTTAACGGCCATGTTTCACAGCCATATAAGAGAACGGAACGAACTGCTGCGCAGTACACCCGCCCTTTGGTTAGCGAACGGATATCACGCCTACGCCATAAGTGACGCAGGTTGGCAAAAGCCAATCGAGCTTTCTGTATCCGAGCTGAGATTTCGTCAGTCACCAGACCGTCAGCACTGATGAGACTCCCCAGATAAGTGAAGTGATATACACGCTCGACTACTTCACTCCCTATCACTAGTTCAGGTGCCGAAGCAACCCAGTCTTGAAGCAACATTTTGCATTTCGAGGGGGAAAACCGCATCCCGAACATGCTCGCATTGTTGCTTATGGTAGTCAGAAGACTCTGCATTTTGTCAGCGTCTTCACCGAATAGAACTATGTCATCGGCATATTCTAGATCAGTAAGCGACTTTCCTGGTAGAAGGTCAACCCCTGAAAAATCTGACGAGCTTAATGTTAACTCTAAGAGGATGTCTACGACAAAGTTGAACAAGAATGGAGAGAGTGGGCAGCCCTGACGGACACTATCATGAATAGTGGCT